CAAAACAATGAAACTAGACATCCTTTGCATATGCCAGATTTTGCTCAATTCTTTACTCCCTGAAATAAGTGTAAATAAAAGATGAAAAATATAGTCTGTGTTCATTGAGACTTTTTAAATGCTAAATGCATACTTAATGGACACCTTACCCAACTTGTCAAGTTTGGAAAATTTACCGAATTTTTTCTTCCGTCTAGCATAACTTGTCCTAGAATTCTCCCATGTATTGTTGCCATATATTTTGTACATTGTGAGTGATGGCTGTACAAAACTATAACGTTACTAAAGTATGTGTAAAGTACATAAAAGTTAGTCCACAACTGCTTACAATTTATGCTTGTGCAGCTAAGCCATGGCCTAAATGTTTTGCATTCAGTAAGAGGCAAATAAAGTTACGTTTATTAGAGTATAGGGCTCATTGGCCTTTGTGAGAGTGTGAAGCATGGATTTTTATGGACCATTTAATATTTATTTTGTGATGTATTTTATCTCTGAATTAAAATGCATTTGTTTATCTAATATCTATTACATTAATTATTATTTGTATAATTTCCTTGAAATCACTTAATGTTACGAGAAGGAAGTTATTTGCAAGCTATAGGAAAATAGCTTGTCCTTCAACTCATCTCCAGTTGTATCCAAAGCTATTATATCAATTTCATTGAAATTTGTTGGTAGTGAATATTGTGTACAAAAAAAATGCTCCATTATATAGTTTCTGGATTGAAGATGAGATAATATATATTGAATTTATATGTCCATCTTTCACATAGATAGGATGGTCTCTTTGATCAGATGCTTCACTGAGTCATTTGTTTCTCATTTTGTTTTAGTAGGAATTTAACTTGTCTCTGTAATGGTGTAGGTTATTGAAGGTTATAAACAAGTATAAGAAATGATGAAATTTTGGTAAAGAGTTGCTTTTTATAGCATTTTTTTTTTCATCAGTATAGTTAGTCTTATAAACACCAAAAGACATTGTTATACAATTTTGTATTTTGACTGTCTTACAATTGGCTCAGAAAAATTGAGGGTTGTTTCACAAAAGATTGTTTGACAGTCTTCTTAATTAACAAAATGATGTATCAAAATTAGTTTTGCAAGTTTGTTGTTGTATCATAGTGCATCTAATAACAGTCCAGTGATATAAATTCATTTGTAACTTGTCTCCACTGAATATGTGAGACAGTTGTGCAACAGACCAATGACAGAGTAACAGATATGTCTTGCAACTTTTTACCACAGTTGCTAGACAATCCAGTGTTGCCAGGTCTCCAAATGTGTGTCTGGACTGTCACATGATAGGTATGTTACTGTATCCTGGTCTTGCAATAGCCAAGATACTTAGTATCTTGTTGGGTACATGGCTTGCATTTTACCTGAGAGTTTCATAGTCTTCATATGCTGTGTCACTAGTGGCAGGAAGACATACAGTAAGCTTTTTATTCTAGATACAGAGCCATGAAGTTAAACCTCATTACCTTTGAAATAAAAGTGCAGGAAGTTGAAAGATCGGTTTTCTTGGAACTCAACGACAGAAAAAAAAGAAATCCAATCAGTGATATTCCTTGGCAGACAAGGGAGTTTGTAGGTTTCTTAATGGAGAACTCTATTTCATAAATGACTTTTTGTTTGTATTATGATATATTTTTCCTTTTTTCTCTCTCTTTGGCACCATTTCTTAAGAGTGTGCCAGAATACCAGAAATTTCCAATGTAGGACCTTTTTTCAAGATATTATTTAAAGACATATTTTTTATCTAACATATTTTACAAAATGAAAATGCAGTTTGTAGTGCAGAAGTCATTTGGTTGAATGTGAATATTGCACCAAGGCATTGATGATCTTTTATTGACGAAGAGTGCTTGCTGAAGTGCCTTTCCAGCGCTGTTACTTACCACCAATTATAAAACTTGAAGATAACATAGTCAGTTATAGTTTTTTGATTGAAGAACTTATATTTCTTCTTTTTTCCAGCCTCCAAAGAACGAAGGCATCAATTTCTCAGGCTACATTCCTGTCGGTAAGTTGTCAAATATTTGTTTTTCGTTCCCTGTTTCTTAGAAATGTCTTTTTGAGAGATATACAGAATCCATATAGATTCTACTCGTAATGTATGTGTCTTCATGAAATTAATGAGAATTTTATACTTTAACAGAACAGCTTCAAGTGTCATACTCCCGCAGCAGTGGGCCTGGGGGGCAAAATGTCAACAAAGTCAACACCAAAGTTGACCTGCGTTTCCATGTGGAAACCGCAGAATGGCTCACACAAGAATTAAAAGAAAAAATTGCCGAAAAAGTGAGATTTTCGTCAATTATTTATATGCATTATTCTTGTTTGATATTTACATATTTTTCATTAACAGTTATTTATTTATGTGATAACCAATTTCTTTTTATTATTAAAAGGACTACAGCTCATGCTTTTCATTTGAAGGAGGTAACATAGTATTTACTTAAAAAGGTAGTCTGTGAAATAACAACTGCAGTGGAAAAGTTAGTTTTAAATTGTTAGTATAGTAGTACACTTGTTTTCATGATCATGATAAGTAAAGTATCGAGTCTGTTTTGTCTTTATTAGCATTCTTAGATTGTTCTCAAAGATAAATGGACGTACAGAATTTCAGGTCTCGTGTTTTTATTTCTGGGCATCATCTAGGAGAGGAAGAGCTATTAGGATCCTAAGGGTGAAAGGCTGATCCTGAGAGACTATGACTATACATTAACAAGTTATAAATTCTCTAGAAAATGTGATATATATTTTTGTCAAGAACAAGTCATGGTTATTGATGTACACGGAAACCTTATGCTCTTGTTAATATAGCCTATGTGATCTATACCATGTTATTTATCCTACAATTGAGTTGGGTTCATATGCAAAGATTACCAACAATGATTTAGGTAGAGGCAGAGGTACATTTCCCATTTTATGATCTAGTTATGCAGAAGCAGGATCTTCACCACACAAGATCAGAAGCCCCTGGTTGTGGTGATTGTTTGTGGCTTTATTTTCTGATAAGGCTATTGCTAGTGTCTGTTAGCCATAGATTTCTCTTGAGCAGTAGGGGTAAATTTCTCTTTGTCTATGTCTTGAATTTTGTATTTTATATACATATTTTTGTTATTTTTATATACATATTTGGCTATTTTTTTATCTTTCAAGGTTAACCTATTTTGTGGTTATGCTTTGCTCATGCTATTTATTTGTAGTTTAGACTTTATGATATACTTAAAGCTAGTCTACCTTCAATGCAATACATTTTTATTTACAACTGCAATGTAACCATATATTTTTATTTTTTCCAATAGTACAAGAGCAGCATAACAAGTGATGGTTGCTTATTAATCCGCTCTGACAAAACACGGTCGCAGCAGTTAAACCTCGCCGATGCATTGGACAAGTTGCGGCATATGATCCATACAGCTGCCTATGTACCTCCACTTCCCTCCTCAGAGGCTGTGGAACGACAGCGAAGAAGGTGGGTCTTCCTCTCCTAAGGGATAAATCAGACGTGTTTTTTTTTTTTTCCATTTCATTTCTTCTCTTGAATTTTCTCCCCACTTTGGTGGTTGTGCTCATGTTTCATTTTGTAAAATATATGTTAAAATAGGAAGCAATAACACTGAGAAGTATAGTTTTATTTTGCTGTCTTGTTTGAAAGACAAGCATGCAGTGCATAATTTAAAGATTGTATCATTGTAGGATATGATACACCAGATAAATATTCATTAAAAAACCATGGCATTGTACCATACAGCTGCAAATTAGAGAGATTGTTGTACTACATTATTTCCTTCATGCTCACAAGTTTATTATATGATTTGCCAGACATGAAGCTGCAGTACGTGAACGTTTGAGGAAGAAGAGAGACCGATCACTGGTGAAGCAAAGCAGACGAGGGCCAGAATCTGAATTTTAAAGTGCATGGAGTATGGTTGTAATGCAATACAAAAAAGTGACTCTTCATTATTAATTGTACTCTAAATTTCACAACATGCAGTATGCAGGCAAACAATGAATTTTCATATAGTAGTCCTGCAGATATTTGTATATAGTATGATATTATATTGATTGTAAAATAAAATGTGTAAAGTTGTGTTACTGATTTTTTAACAGCCATAATGACCAAAAGTGTATGTGTACATGGTGTATTTAGAATAGGAAGAAAACCTTGACATGAAAATAATAAGATAAATATATCTTGGATAAAAATCCATTATTTTCTATCTAGGAATACATGGACATCTGAAAAGATACATCTGTTAGTTATATTTGCTTACAAGGTAGATGCATGCCAATGTAAGGTGAGCATAAGTAAAGATGTCTCATATTTTACTGCAGTTATTGATAACAGAATGGAAGGTAAAGGGAAGAAAGTCTTATTCAGAATTAAAAATGTGATGAAGAATGTAAATTCTATCATTGATAGGTGATAAATAAACCAGACTGTATTTAAAAGATAAGAAAGTATTTATGGTAGATTATAAAAAATGTGAATGTAATAGAATAGAAATGTTTAGAAATATAGTAATTGTGGCCTAAGCCTAGAGGAAAATACATAATACAAGAATGAAACAGCAACACTATGGTTCTGTTGGATATAGAAACCCTAGATCTGTAAGTTTCATTTTGAACCCAGGAGGCTTCCCCCCACCCCCAGAATTGAAAGGGGGATGGCAGTCCCCATCCCTAAACCAAAGAGGCCAAGCAGGTACTTTAGTTTTGAGTTGTTTTTGGTAAATAGTGGATCAACTCAATCAGAAGCTGTTGCCCCGATAGGAAAATTTACATGGATTCACTTATATCATGAGCATATCTTACTGTTTAACCACCTTCTGGCTATCTTCCTGACCTTAGAGTTCTTTGTAAACTTCTCAGCATTTTGGAAACCCATATTTAATAGGGGCCCAGAGGTAAGTTCCTGTAATTATCTCTGGAAGAAACACCCATAGGTTGGTCCAGCAGTGTCTGGACGTTCTGTGCAATGTTGCAAGATCAGATTTCTACTGCTAAATTAAGGGTCACAGCTCAGAGACTTAATGTCCATGACTTATAGATCTACCCATACTTTAGGTTTTTGGGTCAGTGAGAAGCTCATTATCCGAAAGGGTAAAAAAAAACGTCAAAGCAAACCTCGAACAAGAAATGGAGAGACAAAAAGTTAACACAAGGTCCCAAGGTTCTCTTGGATCCAAGTAGTTTATACCAGCAGTTTCTTTCATTCTAATTACTGTTGACTGTATCAAACACCCAGGACTATGCTTTCAGCTCAGAGACCAGTTACGAAAGGCAAAAACTCACTTCATCCTTGTTTGCTTTTACTCCCAAAGCAGTCACGTTCTTGATCATGAAATTGCAAAAATAGCACTCTCACCATGATTGGAGACAGGTGAAAGAAACAACTACAACTATCTATCCAACGACACATTTCACATATTTAACTGATTGATCTGTCAATTCCACACTACTACTAGTTCAGTTTTGCAACGCCTCATAACTTCAGGCAAAGACAGAAACCCCAGTTCAATAGGTGGGATATGTTGTCATACCAGGGCAGAGGATTCTTGGTCAGAGAAAACGCATTATCTCACACACAATCCCAAAGCCATTCAGGAATATGGGCTTGCTGCTAAACAAGCAGCCATTGAATAGAGATAGTCTAGAATAAGCTTTTGTGACTTCAAATGAAAACTATAGGAAAGCCAAATGTTCTGCAGCTGGACAGATATAAAACTAGACCTTTCGCCATTGATAATCTTTGGAATGATTTCAAGATTTAATTCTTTCACAGAATATGACTAGCCAACTGCTGTACATAGCAGGTAAAAGACGCTATTGGCCACAGTGAGTGCTGTGAACATCACTCCTCGCTTATTAAGATTAAAAATACAAATTTATATTTTCTCATCAGCCTATATTATGAATGAGAATATCCAACTCCACAAAGCAAAGCCTATACTTAATGTTATTTGAAGTCACATCTTTACCGTATACTTTAGATAAAGACCAAAGCCCGTACCTTTACTTTCCCTTGTATATCCCATCTTCCCCGACCCCCGTCGGACATCCTCACAAAATCCCCCATCTTTTCTATTGATAACCTATTCTCCTTCCTCTGAGGGATAAATATCCTTCATTTGATCTAACAATCCTTTGTCCTTAACCCTTTGTAAAATTCTTGATTTCTATTAACTTATTTTCGTTTCCTATGGCATGTTCTGTTTCTCTGTACTTACTGCCAGAAAGAGCAGTTCATGATTGTTGACTCCATGACATAACAAAGAGGATTTTTTGATTATTTCAAACTTTTTGTTATCAAAATAACTTCATTCGTTCCTCCTACAGGAACGGTGTGATGTGATCTCGGTTCATCTTCAGCTAATGGAAATTGTGATATTGGTCTTTTGTGCTAATATGTTGATAGTTCAGGATCTTTGACGTTTCATCAAAATAGATTGACATTATAATTATTAATCTATATATATATATAATATATATATATATATATATATATATATATATATATATACATATATATATATACATATATATATATATAATATATATATATATATATATATATATATATACATTTTTTTTTTGTCACGCACACGCACACACGCGCGCGTGCGCGCACACACACACACACACACACACACACACACACACACACACACACACACACACACACACACACACACACACACACACACACACACACACACACACACACACACACAAGGAAAGAGAAAGAAAGGGAGGGGGGCACGAGAGACAGAGAAAAGGAGAGTGAGGAGACAAAAAGAGAGAAAGGGGGGGGGATGTGTCGTCTGCAAACTTGCCTAAAACTAAATTACTCTGCAGAAAATTAGTATTCTTTTAAAGAAAATATCACGACTAAATTTAATTTTCCCCGGTAATTCCAAGACTCGAGGTCATTTTAATACGAAATGGCATAGGAAAAAGTTTGATGCTGATAAGGGGTAATTTTCATTTTCTCCCTAAACTGTTTTTGGTTATTGGACGTAAACAACAATTTTTAAAAAATTTTGTGTTTTTGCTGTTTTATGAGGTTTTTAAAAACCTTTCGTGGTAGCAACAACTTGTACACCACTGTCGTTTCAACAAGACGCGTGAGGTAGATCTAGGAATTATTATTTGGCCTTTTATTTATTTATTTATGTATTTGTGTATTAGGTACATGTAGAGTTCTTTGGTAGGTATTATGTTACAAGTAAATTGAAAAGCCCAAAGGTGTCTTACTTTCTCCTTTAACACGCCATCATTCTAATGTTTGGTAAAGTGACAAGTCTGTCATCTGCAAGATCTGTATAGTGCATAACATACACACATAAACTACCTATTGTTTGCATTAAACCATATAAAACAAATAAATGATTTGCCTAATAAACAATGTGTATGAAATAATTAACATTACTATTCCCAAGATTCGGTTCACGTTTTCTTTCAATCAGGGTTCCTGTCAGTAATAAACTCTACTAGTTCCCCATTATTTTGTGTTTACAGCACCTGGTCATGCGAATTAGTTTTTCGGGAAATGGACTTCGTCTACAGGTATTCCAAATATCCAACTCTTCCTTTGTTCTGGGGGATACGAGAGCCTTTAATGGTGGGGCTGTGTTTACTTTCCGCCTTTATTTATTGACGTTTTGTATGGCTGTTGCCTTAGATCTTTAGTTAATTTCGTTTCTTATTTTGAATTATAATGGTACCAGGCTAGAGAGCCCGTTGCGGGATATAAATGATCTTGAAAAACGGTTGAATCTAGTGTTGGTTGTACTCCTTTCTTTCATCACAGAAGGGCCATACGTCAGGGTGCTGTTCATTACTCTGCTGCTTTATTGCTCTTGAGAGTTACGGTAGAAATGCATTACATTTGACTTTTTATCTTTCCAATCCAATAATTTTTCTAGTGGTAATACTTGCATTTTAGTGATATTACATATGCCTCCATCATCAATTATCAAAAAAAAAAAAAGACAGAAAAAAAGAGAAAAATCGTAAAGCACCGAAGGAATAAAACAAAAGTCCAGTTCAATACTCTTAACATTTATTAAAAACAACAAATAAAGTGATATAGGATGAACAGACATACCTTCACACACTTAACAAAAAAAAAAATCTAACATGATACTATGAGGGAAAGAAAGAAGAAAAATAATCATGGTAACAATGACACTATCATTCACACCATGTTATAGGGTTACATTAAAGCTTATAGACAAACACTGGCTAACCTTTGAAACACCTGGATTCGATGTGGAAATAAAGTTTTCTGTAAAACCTCCTTTCTACTCTGAACAATCGTTGATCCACAGAATAGACACTTTATGAGGGATGTGTGCATGTTAAGATACATTTCTTTTATATATAAAGTTGGTTTGATTTCCTAACTCCCTGTTAATCTTTGAATGTTTTTGGTGATGTCAGTTTTCTTGCAGTGGGTTAATCGCCGTCTCCTGATTGGTATATACAATGCCTTTCCTTGTAGAGTACCAGAGTTTCCTTAACAACATGACTGCTTCACCAAATTTTTCCTTCATTTTTTTTGGCCCCTTGTTATATGACTTCCGGGAAACCTCTGGCGATCCCCCCCCCCACCTTGTGATGAGATGATGTTACATTGCAATTGCAGCTGTGTTGTTGCCTCCTTCAGGCCACGGCGCGCGGTGAGACTTCCTTGCCCTCCTCCAAAGGCAGCTGGTCGAGCGGGCACATGCTGTATCACAGGTACGGGAACGCGAGCGACGCCTGTTGAGGGAAGAGAAGGGAGTCAGTGTGGTAGATGAGTGAAATGGTGAAGGTTCGTGTGCGTAAGGCAAGAGTCTGCCACTCTCTCTCTTTCTCCTTCTCTTTCTCTTTCTTTCTTTCTTTCTTTCTTTCTTCTTTTCTTTCTCTCTCTCTCTCTCTCTTCCTTCCTGTTGTACTCTGAGCAATTTAGAGAAATAATCTTAAAAAGTAGATTTTAAAAATAATTTCAATCTTTGTTTCTCTACCTTTTCCTATCTATGGATTTATCAAATCACCCCTTCCCCCAAGACACACATACACAGACACAGACACAGACACACACAGACACAGACACAGACACACACACACACACACACACACACACACACACCACACATACACAGACAACACACACACACACACACACACACACACACACACACACACACACACACACACACACACATACACATACACACACACACATACACACACACACACATACACACACACACACACACACACACACACACTCACACACGCGCCTTACATGAACCAAGCATATAAATCGCAAGGTCAGCCATTGCCTCTGCTCTATCTCCGGCATCTTAATTCCGTTTCTCTTTCACCGCGAGGCTCTCTCCCGCCCGGCGCCTTGGGTTCGCCATTTCTCCCTTTCTCAACCTAACGTAACCCGCTTCTCTCTTGTTTTCGATGCCATGCACATCTCCCATTCGTCATGAGCGCTATGATCCCATAGGCAATTGTGCCATTAGTTGTAGAATAATATCTGATAGCGTGAATGTGTATGTGCTCGCCGTCTCTCACACAGACAGTTATTCGAAACCTATCGTAACCCAGCTCTCTCTAGGGGCTGCGTTCGATACCGTGCACGTCTTCCATTATTCATGAGAAGTATGACCCTGTGAAACCATTGTAGCAAACAATATGAGCTGTGTGCTTGTGTATGTTTTGTAATTCGTATATTTATGCATGACTATTGTAGTATAAATAGTTCCTTCAATGCGAATGGTTTATACCGAGTGCATGACTAAACCCGACCGGTTTAAGAGTGGATTGAATGGTGCCGTTGCCATGGTATCTAGTGACAAAGGGAACTGAGCCGATATCCACGGGATTATGGCCTTTACTCGAAAAGTGGAGCTGATAAAAATATAGCTGTGACACACACACACATATACACACACATTGCGTGTGTGTATAGGTATGTATACGTATATGCATATATTATATATATTACACACACAACACACACACACACACACACACACACACACACACACACACAAACACACACACACACACACAACACACACATATATTATATATATTATATATATATATATATATATATATATTATATATATATATATATATATTATATATATATATATATATATATATATATATATATATATATATATATATATGTATATATATAGCTTTCTTAAATTCATGCGCAACGAGACTTGTTGCGCATGTTACAAGTGCTGGCTGTGATATATAATAGGCACAAAAAGAAGCTTTTTTGTACATCTACACAATCTAGCTTAAGATGTCACTGCATAGGCATGTAATGATATCAGTGCATGGTTTACAAAGCACATCCATAATAATAATAGTTGTGTTCCGCGACGATCATAATTATATTAGTAATGCCATTTTTAATAATAATGATAATAAAATGATATAATAAAAATAGAAGAATAAGATAATAGAAATGATCATAAGAGCGACCTGTTTTCTGTGGTTGCCGAACTCTCCAAAGAAATGGAACCTTAACCTCACTTCCCCTAACTTCCCTGTCTAATACAAATTTACCTTTACAGTAAACTGTCTTCGTTTGCTCCACGAATTATTGCAACACGAAACAAAATAAACACAGGTCTCGTGTTCAGATGACAGGTGAATGTGAATGACTAATCGCAGGAATATCCAACAAGAAGCCGAGAGAAAATTAAAGGCATTCAGATAACGATCATCGCGCCATAACAAAGGGTCGAAGCAGCCCCGACGCGCCGTCCGAATCCCGTGTTTCGAAGATCGTCTCGAGTCGAAGCCCAGGCTAAGCGGTCGAGATACGCTAGAAATGTTCGGCGTCAGAGGCCGGCCGGAGCAGGGAGGGACGCTCGCATTCTGTGCGCCATAGCCCTTGAGAATGCGCTAGATGCCCGCGCCGAAAGGAGATATATTAAGGGGAGATTTCGCTGTATGGCTTTGGCTCCGGGAGGGGGGAGGGCCGAGGGAGGGAGGTCACGCGTTCCCAGCGCCGCCCTTCAGTCTCAGGAGCTTTCTAAAATGCCCATTTTGATGCCCGGCCCGGCGCCGTTGCCATATTCTACGGCGCTTTTAAGCTCACGAGGCTATGAATCTTAATTCGCGGTAAAGAGAGACGGAGAGTCTGCCCGATGAGGACCTTCCGGGGTCATTTTACTTTGATTCTCTTTTTCCTTTTCTTTTTTTTTTTCAAAACGAACGAGATTAAAGAGACTTCTAATTGTACTTCTCCTCGGCTCAAGGGGATAATTCAACGCCAACCCTAACAGCAAAAGGAATTCAGAATGGCTCATAAAGAACATTATGGATTTTAAAGAGACCGAACCAGCAAGAATGCAAAGCACGCCAGACTTGTTTTCTGAACGTAGATTAATTTCTCTTTGTGAAGAGATTTCGACACCATCGCAACAGGCAGGAGAAGAGCAGCCAAAGCACCCGGCAAGGTCGTGACAGGGGCCGGCAGAGTATAGGGCCGCTGTCGAGGCTGTCGTCTGAAGCGAACAGGTGGTCGTGCCAAGTTTAAAAATACGCGCCATGCCATACCCTAGAAACCTGCCGATGATGCCCGAGTTCCTGAGCGTGGCCGACGGCGAACTCCTCCCCGCGGGACACGAATTCTAATACAAGATTTCTCAGTATGTTAGAAATGAAGAAGTACAGTATGCGGTCATGCAAAGCCCTCTCCCTCCCCTCCCCTCTCCCCTGCTCCCCAACCTCTCGCTTTATCTCGCTCTCAGTGTTGCCAAGAAATGACTCCGGAATGTAGCCATGTCGGAAGTGTGAGAGCCGGTATTGCCACGTCGGAATCGAATCGGGAAACGAGACAGATTCGGATCCCGTTTGTGCTGTTTCAGACGAGTGGAATTTCAAGGAAGAGAGAAGAGTTTGCCGAAGCTAAGAGCATGCCTTTAACCTTTATTTACTGAAAAATATCACTAGCAACAGCATCTCTATCATTATTATTATTATTATTCATCCTACGCTTTGAGAAGAAGGCAATCAACAACAAAAAAACATTATTTCCTTTGTATTTTTCTCTTTCGCTCTAGTTTTTCTTACGAGTGTATGCAAGCAGAATATATATAAACCGCACACAAAAAAACTTGACTTGTGTGCTGCCAATCCATCTCTCGAGTTCAAGAGATTCACATAATTAATGAAATGAACTTAAAGACAAACTACAGACAAACAAAATGATTACATAAGTGAAGATTGGGTAAGTTATCTCATTTGAACACTCGGGGCGATGGGGCGCGTTCAGACAAACAAATACATTATGCAACGAGGCACACTTAAGCTGCGGGAGATGTCGCAGGGTCGAGAGGAACTCGAATCCCTTAAGGACGCCAGGAAGGGATGGGATGTGGCAAAAGGGATCTCTCGGGCCGGTCTCTGCCCTCTTTTGTTCCTGTTTATTTCATTCTGCTTTTCTCGTTCTCTCTTTCGTT